CAGTTGGGTGACCATGTTATTAAAGTTTTTATTTTTGTTGAGAAAATCATGTTATTAAAATTCGTGTTATAATTAGTCGTAGTGTTGGTGACGAAGTATTAATTAATCCGAGAATATTCGTATCTTGGTTTATACGGAATGAAACGTAAATTTACTCTCCATTGATAGCCTGATTATGACGTCAAAGAGTTTTTAGGAGGGAAATCCCTTATCATCTTTGCGTAGCCCATCCTGAGAATATTACTTAGGCAAGGGTCAAACGCATCTCCAAAAGATAATCGTGGCTATCGCAACAGAGATAGTAACTTAGGTGGACGCGTCTCTCATCCCCAAGAGTACGAAATTTCTATCCGGAGCTCTATGACTATTCGCATAAGACATCTACGATTCGGTACGAAAAAGCTGAAATAATTAGGGCCAGATAAAATTGAAAACAACTGTAAATGTAAATCAATCAACGTTTTCTATGAAATGACATGATTTGAATATCTTATTGCTCATAGAGGAAATGCCACGACGATGACTTGAATCCTTTATATATCCTATACATTAGCCGTAAGCCATCAAATGCACATGGTAAGAATTTAGAAGTTTATTTTAGGGTTTAATATCTGTAATCCAAAAAATGATGGCATAAAGTTACTAAAAAGATCAAATTTTATGTGTTTGTATTTGAATTTAGGTTTTGATGCTAGAGTTTTGGGTTCTAGGATCTATGTGTATATAATGTTGGATTTAATTAGGCTTTGATGCTAGAATTTTGGATTATAGGATCTATGTAATATTTTTAGTGTTTGTCCCATAACGACGCGAGATGAAAGAAAACATGTAAAAAAGTTGTATTTTAATGACCAACGGTTTTTGAAACAAAAAAATATTAGTTACATCGATTAAGTAGGTCCTAAATTTTATTTAATATTAGGTTTTGAATATGAATTGTTTCCTTCACATGTAGTTTCTATAAGATAATTTTTAGCTGAACAATATCCTTTATTTTAATTAAAGATCATTATCCTACGTGTCGTCTCCAGAGTGAGTTTAATACTTGCTTTGCCTATATTACCCTTAATGAATATATTTATTTACATCTCTTGCCATCAAATGATTATTATGAAATTGCCCCTTTGAATGAAACGTAAGTGGTTGGGCCATCGCATCTTGATTTGTGTTTATTGGGTTTAGATTTGAGATTTCCCTTGGCCCATAATTAGTTAGCCCATATTAATTATCGATTATGTTAGTAAAACCTTAAGTGCAACTTCGTTATTTCTTATTCTATATATTGGGGTTAATTAGGGTTTAATCTTCAATATTTTTTCTCCGCCATTTTAGTTTCGTCTTCATATTCATTTTTTTTTTCTTTGTTTGGTTTTATATGCATTGTATGTTGTTTGAGATTCAATTCTATATATGTTGCTATGATCAGATTGCATGTTTCTTTCTTCTTTGCAAAGGTATGAGTTTTTTGTTAATCAGTTTCACTGTCGATCCTTATTATAATATGTTTTTGTGTTGTTATTAGGTTTCATAATTAGTTAGCCCATATTAATTGTCGGTTATGTTAGTAAAACCCTAAGTGCAACTTCGTTATTTCTTATTCTATATATTGGGGTTAATTAGGGTTTAATCTTGAATATTTTTTCTCCGCCGTTTTAGTTTCGTCTTCATATACATTCTTTTTTCTTTGTTTGGTTTTATAGTTGCGTGCCATTATTTTTTTCCTTTTCATGCTTTGTATGTTGTTTTAGATTCAATTCTATATATGTTGCTATGATCAGATTGCATGTTTCTTCTTTGTCAAGGTATGAGTTTTTTGTTATTCAGTTTTACTGTCGATCCTTATTATAATATATTTTTGTGTTATTATTGGGTTTATATACATGACTACATGTGGCCCATAAACACAAGAGATTTAACAAAAACATTACTTTTGTTAAACGATTACGGTTGTTTAAGTATCCATTTTTATGTGTGGATTTTTTGTTGTTCATTAAACCTAAATTACGTAAAGTTGCATGCTGAATATAAAGTAGATCTGATAAGATTATTGGTGCTATCCGTCGTGTTCTAGAATCTCGTGGATTAGAATATGGTTCTTATTTTGCCTTATAAGATAACCATCGTATGTGTTTCCGATTATTGTTTACTTCTTATAAGTGTTTTGGTGTTTAGTCAATTTAATTTTGTTTTCATTTTTTTAAATTTTTCCATATTATTTTACAATAACAATAAAATAACAATAAGAGTTGCTTAATAAAACATTCGTCCGGTTATTGTTTATTAATGTTTTATTAACTACGTTCTATTTAAAAAATATAAATAAAAACCTATAATTTATGAAATTAACAATATATATAAATAATTACTTCCCGCGCGTCGCGCGGATACTGCCCTAGTATTAGAATATGGTCTTTATTTTACCCCCCCCCCCCCACACCAACAAAAGAAGCATGAGAAATTTCAAAAAATGCCACTTTTAAATGCCACTTTACAAAAATGCCACGCTTTTAAAATTTTTACAAAAATACCACTTTTTATTTTTTCTTTATATTATTTATGTTTGGCTTAATTATGTTCTATTAGGATTTAGTTACGAGGATTTATGAGGATTTAGCAGTCAAAACATTTTTTAGTGTTTAGAATTTTAAGATATAAGGTTTAAAAATCTATAATTAGTGGTATTTTTGCAAATGAACACCCCTAAGTGGTATTTTTGCAAATATGCACATAAAAAGTTGCATTTTTGCAATTTCTCCATTAGTGATATTTTTGCAAATAGACACCATTAAATGGCATTTTTACAAATATACACACCAAAAGTGGCATTTTTGCAATTGCCCATATTTTTTATATGGATAGTATTTTATAATGTTAATATTTATTCTATTATAATAATCAAAATTATAAATCAGAATCTCAAGTTAATTAAATTCATTTTTACAAATGAATTTAATTAAATTCTTTAACAT